ACTACTTCTCTTCCTGATATGAAAGGTTCTACAAGAGGCAGAAAAATAAAAGCTTATTTCTTCCACTTGCTAATGTCCTATCAATGCTGCCCAGTGGCAGAAATCAAGAGCAAGTATCTTGGCCAATGAGCCTGTAAAATTTAGTTTGCAGGTTTCCAGGCAGGCCTGTGTCTTAGCTGAAAACACAGAGTGTCAGGAATGGAACTGAAAGGAGGCACATGCTTCCTTCTTAACTTTTCATATTAACCAAGCTCTTGGCTTTTATATTCAGCCCTTTCAAGACACACACACATATATTCACACTCACGCACACATACACACACACACAGTTTTTATATGGTTAATACTAATTAATCATTTATCTTTTGTCTTATGTTAAATAAATGTTCACCAATAAAGCTATTTTTGGCTCAACACATTAATCTAGGTCCCTCAATATATAATCTCTGGCACCCTGTGTCTTTCCTCATAACATTAATAAAATTGAGACTAAATAATTAATTGAACAATTATTCATTTAGTATTTACTTCCCATGGTAAACTGAAAAATAACTGAAGAACCTTATATGACTTATTCACTGCTGTATCTCCACTGAACAGAACATGAAAGATCCAGAATACATATTTGTTGAATAAATGAAGTGTATTTTTGTCATAGCAATCAAAAGAATAGTTCCTTCATTCATTGTCAATGATTCCTCCAAGGACAAAACATTTACTAGTTCTAAAAATTTATTTTACCTTTAAGCAAATGGGTCAGTTTCTTAGGGATTTCTTTTATGCTATAAATACAGAGATTGACAGAAACAAAATATTAGTTTCTCTGAGTATTGTGCTGAAAGTATAAATGCCACATATCACTTTATCTTATTTTTTATTTTCATTAGTCCATGTTTGCAGTACACAATGATTACATTCATCATGTGGAGTTGCTCCATGTACATAGCACATCTTAGTTCTTTTCACTTCCCTTTCTTTCCCCTCACTTCCTCCTACCCCTTTCCTCCATCTCTTGGCCCCCTTCCCATTTGCAAAAAGATCTTTAATAATATAGCATATTGCAGAGTAATTTAAGTAACTATGTAGATGGTTATGGAAATAGGAAAAATAAATTCAAGGAGTTAAGCAGGTGGAATTCTTATTCAGTTCAATGAATTAGGTTAACTCCTTCAATGTTTTTATTCCCCAAACAGAAAGACCATAAGGTACAACAGGGCATATGAGTTATCAAGTGTCTGTTATCTTTGAAGCTGAGTTCCAGATTCTGAAGTTCAATTTTTAAGAATTCTAATACTTAAAGTGCTTGATCTAATTTTAAAAAGTGAGTTGCATCTATACTTTTCCACCCTCAGCTCTCAGAGAATACAATCATCCACAGGTTCTTATTGGTGAAGAGGCTGGAGATACGAGTACTGTCAATGAACTTTTATATTGTTGCTGAAAGGAATGGCTGACAAGTTAAATTAGTTGGTGATTCATGTAGTTTATCTAAAAAAGCTTCAATTTTTTCAGGAAAATTAGAAACAATGTTAACCAATGAGACTGCATGGGCCAACAAAGAGGGTAAAGGTTTGAGGACAAAGGGAAAAAATTTGGAGCAGTCACTGCAAAGGCTTTAGTAATAATTAATATAAGGATTGGTACATAACTTGGAAAAGCTAAGGGAAAGTTTAATGCCAAGAAATCTCAGGAACATTCTGTTGAGATTTTATCAAGCAAATTTGACCTATAGCAGGAATGCTGAATGTCATTAAAGAAGGGTTAGCAAAGCAGATGAGAGTTGATAAGTGCATTACTAAGAAATTTATCATGAAGTCCATTCTGGATGGGAAAGCAGAAAAGCCAGTATGGGCCTAATGGATTTGGAAATGTGTTAGAAGACAAAATTGAAAGGCAAAAAATAAACTCAACAATAAATTCAAATGATGATAAGCTGCAGGAAAAGAGAAGGTAAGCTAGAAAAAGCTCTTAAATGAGAAATTCTTGTTGAAATCAAAAGTTCACTAGAGGTGGAAAGATATTGAAGTATTAAAGTCAAGCTCCTCATGAAAGCAGAGGTCCAAAAAAGAGGCGGGGTTGTTGAATGAAAGCCACACAATAGTCTAAAATTAGTTATACCTCCAGGCAACAACATTTGAAAGAAGTAGAAAAACAGAATCTTTCTTATAGAAAAGGATGCAAAGATCTTAAATATTAAGAGATGGGCCTATGCTTAATTTAGTTTGAAAAGTAAGGAATATTAAAGGTAAGAAGTTGGCTTCATACCAGGGAAGTAAGGATAGTTTGACATATGCAAATCAGCAAATGTAGTATGTCACATAAATAGACACAAGACCAAAAAGGACATGATTATCTCAACAGCTACTGAGAAAGCCTTTGATAAAAATCCAACATCCATTCATGGTTAAAAAAAAAAATCATGAAGCAAAGAGGTATAGAGGGATTTATCTCAATCTGATAAAAGCCATTTATGACAAACCTACTGCCAGCATCATAATAAAATGGAAAAAATTGAGTGCTTTTCTTTTAAAATAAGAAACAAGGCAAGGATGTCCACTATTTTCTGTTCAATATAATACTTGAATCAGGCAACAGAATAAAATAAAAGAGATATGTGTAAAAAAATAAAGGAAGAAGTCAAACTACCCTTATTTCCAGATGACATGATCACTTGTATAGAAGACCCTAAAAAATTCCACAGAAAGACACCTAGAACTAATAAACAAATTCAACAAGTTAGCAGGATACAAAGTCAACACACAAGAATCCATAGTGTTCCTGTACATCAATAATGAACTCACCAAAACGAAATTAGGAAAATACCCTTCATAGTAGCTTCAATAAAAAATTTAAGACTTAGGAATTAATCTAAGAAAGGAACTGAAGGTCCTCTATAAGATAACTATAGTACTATTCTGAAAAAGGAGATCAAAGAGGACATCAGAAAATTGAAATATATCCCCTGTCCCTGTAGGCAGAACCAATATTGACAGAATAACTATACTCCCCAAACTGATACATAGGTTTAATGCAACCCCAATGGGATTTCTTACAGATCTAGAGAAAACAATCCTAAAATTAATATGAACCAGAAGAGACCCAGAATAGCAAAAGCAATTCTGAGCAACAAGAACAAAGCAGGAAGTATCACAATTAAGATTTCAAGTTATATTACAAAGCTACAGCAATAAAGAAAGTGCACACACACACACACACACACACACACACACACACACAACTAATGTGAATCAATGAAATAGAATAGAGGATGCAGAAACAATTCCAGGAATATTCAGCCATTCATTGTTTAACAAAGGGCCAAAAACATATGATGAACCCAAAAGTCTTAATAGTAAATGATGCTGGGAAAACTGGCAATACACATGTAGAAGATTGAAGCTAGATACATATTTCTCACCAAGTACTCAACTAAAATAAGAACAGATAAAAGATCTAAATATTAAATCAGAAACAACCTGCTAGAAGGCAAAATAGGAAAAACTCTTAAAGACATAGGCACAGGCAAGGACTTTCTGAACTGAACCCCAATTGCATAAGAGATAACATCAAGAATCAGGAAATGGGATTATATCAAATTAAAAATCTCCTGCACAGAAAAAGGAACAACCATCAGAGTGAAGAGACAATCCGCAGAATTAGAAAAAGAATCGCCAACTACTCCTCAGAGGACTAATATCTGAAACAGATAAAGAACTCAAAAAGAACTAGACCCCCCAAAATAAAAGACCCAATAAAATTGGGCAAATGAAATGAATAAACGTTTCTCCAGAAGAAGTACAAAGGACCAATACTGTATATGAAAATATTTAATATTCCTGGTCATTAAAGAAATGCGAATTAAAACAACACAAGAGTATGCCTTATCCCAGAAAGAATGACTATCATCAAGAAATCCAACATAATGACAAGTGCTGGCAAGGCTACAGGGGAAACAGAAACTCTTCTATATTGTTGGTGGGAATGTAAACTGTTATAGTTTATATCTAAGTGCCCCCCCCCAGTAAAGCTTTCATATGCTTCACTGTGGACATAGCCTGGAAGGACTTCCTTCTCCTCCTTTTTTTTGGTACCAGGGATCAAACTCAGGACCTTGCACATGTGATGCAGGTGGCAGAACCACTGAACTAAATCCCTGGCCCCTCCTTTGATTATTGCTTACCATGAGCTGTTCTCCTCTGCCATGTCACCCTGCCGTGGAGCCAGCTGACAATAGACTGAGACCTTTACAAACTATAAGCCAAAAAAATAAACCCTTCCTACTTTAAGTTGTGAGTGTTGAGTATTGTGTCTGAGAAAAAATAACTATGATATAAACTAAATAGCCACTATAAAAATCAGTGCGGAGAGTCTGCAGAAAGCTACAAGTAGAGGTTCCATTTGACCTAGCTATTTCCCTCCTAGGTATCTTCATGTAAGAATTAAAGACATTGTATCACAATGATACACCATACCATGTTTATAGCAGTACAATTCATACTAGCGAAATCTTGGAAGGATTCTATATGTATGTCCATCAATAAATAAATTGATAAAGAAAATGTGGTATTTATACTCAAGGGAATATGACTCTGCCATAAAGGATAAATTTGAGTAATTTGTAAGAAAATGGATGTACCTCGAGACCATAATATTAACTGAAATAAAAATCAGACACACAAGCTTAAATATCACATGGTTTCTCTTATTTTAAAATATAAATAAATTAAAGAGAAAAATGAAAGATGGATAATAGGAAATAAGGAGATATATCTTTTTCAAATGGAAAGGGAAACAAAAGATGAAGGAGGAAAGAGGAAGGAGTAACAGGACGTAAAAATATTTAAGTTGTATTATGTACATTGACTAAGGCCGCATGATTAATGTTATCATTATGTACTACAAACATGTACTAATAAAAATAAATAAGGTCACAAAGTGGAGGATTTGAACTAAAACCCAGACATTACATCATACATTCTTCTTATGTATATCTTTCTAGATTGGGGGAACATGTGGTGGCTGATAAACATCTGTTCAGGGTTAGATACCAAAGGGTAAAGTGAGAAAACAACATTTTAGGTAACATATTAGGATATGATCTGTTGAAACATCCATGAAGGGAAAAGTGGTTCTTCACCGAATGAGCCTGTGGAGACACTAGACTTCTTTGGTTCAGCACAATCTAAATACAATAGCAAAACCCTCTATTTTCCCTCTCTTCTCCCTTCTATTAAAAATACATTATTACATTCATTGAGTTATCTCAAAGACTCAACTGAATAACATTCAGTGGAAATAAATTAAAACCTGCCCTAACATTTTGCCTGATAATTTATGAGTATAAATTGTATTTGTATCAGTCAGTGCTTACTAAAGAAACATATTTAATGGAAAATATACAAATATATAAAAATTTACAAGACTGTCTTACACTGGCAGCCCACAGAATCAGATGTGGAATAGCACAAAAGTCTGTGTGTGCACTGGAGCCCTGATGGATCCAGTTGAAGGCCTGGAGCTCAGTTTCTCCTGAAAGTCTGCATCAGGAGGCTGAAGGGTCTGTGACATGGCTGAAGAGTCTGTGTTGGAAGGCTGAAGAGTTTGCAGTGGAAGATGTTGTCTAAGGTGAAGGCTCAGACTGGAGCTCCTCCAAAGAAACAGAAGAAAGCCTTCCTTCTTTGTTTTTCTTTTATACACTCCTGGCAACAATCCTCCCTGGGGTAGGTCTTCCACACCCAGAACTTTGCTGACCCAATTTAGTCGGACATTTCTTACTCCAGTTGACAAAATCAGTTAACTGTCACAATCCACTCCTTGTCAGCTTGATAACCAGGCACATTTCTTTAAACCATAGTCTCCAGATACAAAGACAAGTTCATAATTATGCCTGTTAATAATGATTATAACATGTTATAACTATCCTATGTACAAACAGAAACGCACTAATTCCCTCCCTGGCATTGAAGGCAAGTTTTCCTTGGGTGATCTTTACTCCTAATATTTCATAATGTGAACATTATAACACAGTTTTAACAATATTTAAGAACTAATATTGTTTATCAACATTATATTACATAGGAACCATATTAGGAGAGTACTATTCTAATTACAATCCTTGTTTCTGTAGCTGATCATGGGCTCATAGCTGGTATTTAGAACTACCTTCTTCTATTACCTATTCTGTATTCACCTCAGCAGGTCTTGGTTCTTTCCTTGATGGGTTGACCCACACCTTTATTCCTGAAAGTTCTGGACCATCCGTCATTCTGCCTGGATTGGATTTGTGTAGTGTCACATGGACTTCAATAGCAGGGCATGGTAATACCAGGAGGCACCCTTAAGAATCTCCTGGACTCCAAGTAGGTTCTTCCTTTCTTCCATTGTGGAGTAATAGTCCTATATCCCCCTTGATAGTCTGGGTCAACCATACTTACCAACACTGTAACTCCCTTTTTAGCTTGTTTACTCAGAGGCATGAGAAGACCAAAATGATAAGGGGGAAGTCTTATGTTCCAGTTCAATATTATTGTTGTGCTTCCTGATATGAGCCTTCCCCACTCTGGAACCAAGACTTCTAAACCAGCAGAGCATAAAATCATGGGAACAGGAAGTAAAAATTTTGGGATCACTAGGAGTAGTGATGAGTGGTACCATTCCCACTTCTACCTCTTGATTCCTGGACTCATAAATCCTGCCTATGGGAGACACAGTACCATATAGTGGACAATGATTCAAAGCATATACAGCCTTTTGGAGAACTTTTTCCTATCCCTACAAGCTATTGCCAGCTAGCTGGCACTGTAACTGTGTCTTCAAAAGACCATTTCACCTATCAGTCCAACCACTTTTGGATAGTGAGGAGTCTGGTAAGACCAGTGAATTCATGAGCATGAGCCCATTGCATCACTTCTTTGGCCATACAATACGTTCCTTGGTCAGAGACAATGCTGTATGGAATTCATGACGGTGGATAAAGCATTCTGAGTCTATGGATAGTAATTTTGGCAGAAGTATTACATGCAGTGAAGGTTTGGGGAAATGGGCATTAAAAATGAGCATTAATTGAGGTTTAATGAGAAATATAGAAACCAAACTATATAACTGAGGAACTTAGTATTAGGGGAATGTTACAGAGTTGGTGGGAAGGAATCTCCAGATGAAAAAGAGGAACACTGAGGTAACTCATAGATGTGAATTTGTCTGCTAGGTAGGAAGTTGTTCTTACTTCACAGGTAGAGGAACAATGGGGGAAAAGTTTGGTTATTAGAACTGAGTTCAGGGGAGGGATCCTATCCAGCTTGAAATTGCACCTGTGAGAAATGGGAACAGTTTGGTTGGAGCCGATAAATTTGAGAGGTTGGGATAAGTCTGGATTTTAGAAGGTAAAATAGGTGGGAGGCTGGCCAGCTGGAAACAACTGCTAAAGACAGGATAATGGGCTATTACTGTTGAGGTAATGCTTCTTTGCAAGAAGAAGCAAATAGAAAGGAACAAGTCCCTTCTCCCATACTCCTACTTTCCACCCTATAGTGCCTTTTATTGATAGAACCAATTAGGAAACCAAATGGTAAAGGATGCATGTAATTTGCAGAATCCTAGCCCTATTATTACAAAGCTGGGATGTAGAAGTATGAATGTGCAATATAGAAGTTATAGTTTCAAAAGCAATGCTAATGGAAATTAAATCAAAGTCTTAAGCAATGGCCAGGGTAACCACCTTTCAGCTTAAAAAATTCAATGTGATCAATCACATGCTTAAGATTTTAAAAAATAAATACACTTCTTTGAGTTTTTTTTTCCATTAGACATGCACTTGAGTATACTGTCACCACAGTTAGCATTTGATCATCACGCCTGGGACCAATATGGCATTACTCAAAGTATTTAGATTGGATTTAAGCAGTGGAAAAACAGATATTTGCTTGCCCTTGTAGAACTTTCATTCTAAGAAGGGGAAAAGACAATAAATACATAATATGTCAGATGGTTAGTGCAATGAAGCAAATAAATCAAGTTCAGGAATTGGATTTGGGATGAGGAAAGACCTTTCCTTTGGATAGTCCTAAAGGTCTCAGTAATAAAGTGATTTCAGCAAAGAAATAAAGGAAATATGAGGGAGAAAGTGGTGTGACTGTATGAGGAGAATCTTTTCAGTAGGGAAGAATTGCTTTGTTAAATGTAACCTTGGCAAATATTTTGCAAGTGGTAGTTTTTTTGTGGGTCTGTACTTTAACTATTTGTATAATTTTGTGATTCTAGGTGGGTAACACCAGTTTATTATCAAATATGGTACCGACTTGAACATTCTACAAAGTATCTTCATGTCTTCTAATGAGGGAAGAGTTATGTTTCTTTACACAGCAAATTATAAAAAATGTACTGATGGTAAGGGGAGTTAGCTAAAGTGCATAATGTTCTACCTGTACTACTAAATACCACCTATATTTCAGTATGTGATGAAATTCTAATAATAGTCTCAAATTTTTAATTTGGATTATTGGAGTAAGTGTAAAATGCCCAGCACTGTATGCAAGTACTTTTTTGTTGAAAGTGACAACCTTTGTTTTTTAGTTCAGAGTTAATGAATCTTGATAATTGGCAAATAGTCTTTGAGGCAGAAAGTTGGATGGACATCTCCAGTACTCACTCGCAACTCAAAACAATGAAACCATTGTTATCATTAGGATCATGTTGATTTTTGTTCAGATTTTTTTTAAAATGCATAATTTAGTATTCAATGGTGTCAAAATACTGTTAGCTATAATGTTTCCTTCTATCTTTTTGCTACTCAAATAATGTGAACTTATCTGTAAAAAAAAATAGTAATGATATAAAGCCTAGCAATACTTTCACGTTAAAGGTTTAAAAAAACCCCAGCTGTTCCAACCCTTGAAAAAGTGAATTTTATTGTGTAAAATAATTTTTTAACTCAGCAATAATTTTCAACATAAGAGCTTGATGTACATTTATCTAAATTTCATTCATCCAGGAGAATGTAATTTGAGACTGGGCACATTTAGAAAGTAAAAATTTGAGTTTCCTTAGTAAATTTGTTGCTAACTCAAAATAAAGAATCTTGAGGGATCAGTCAGTGGTACCTCCTGGAAGGCAAGAACTTGGTTCCAGCAGGAAAACCACTGCATATGGCTGGCAGTATTTGCGGTGAATTTAACCTCTGTGCCTAGGTTCCTCTTGCTGTCAAGCAGAGATAATAGTAGTGCTGTCTTTTGTGGGAAGTAAGCACATGCTTTGACATCTCTAGTTGAAGAAACTATACCAACACAAATTATTATTCGAACATAATGAATATATGCACATAAAACACCAGGATGGTGCTCTTTAAATACTTATATAACATCTATAAATACTGCTCTTTCATGCTTTCATTTAGGTGAGGAATGTAATCATAGCAAGCTATTATTCAATTTTTTCCAAAGAGAGAGGAAATACATTTTTTAAAAGTTCCAGATCATTCTTTCAAGAAATGCTAAACCTGTTTATTTCTGATGGGCTCTATAGCAGTTTCACAATAGCCCCCATAGTAAGCCTTTGGTACCTTTTAAAATGTTGGCTAAATTACTTCTGGAGACTGGAACCCTCAGGGAAAGGCTGGGGTGATAAAATTGGCTAGTGATATTAAAATTTTGGTTGTTAACATTTAACTGAGTCTCAACAACGTGTTAAAGTGCTATCTAAACAGATAATTAGCTAGTCCTTGTGCAGTGGGCTGTCTAAATTTAGCAGTGAAATTAGGTTCAGGGAATGTGAAAATAGGAAAAGAAATTTTCTCAAGGGAAACAGTGGTGTCAGCACAGCTGAGGAATGTCACAATAGCTAAGTTTCGTCAATTATGATCATCATCGGGGATCTCCTGGAGCGACACAGGACAGGCTTTATTCTTAAGTGCATCATGAGAATAGGTAACAGAAAGTAGTGGCTGCAGGAGACAGGCTTACAGGGGATGACAGTGGTAGCAGGCAAAGAAAGAGAGAAAGAAGGGAGGGGATGGAGGAAAAGAGGGTCTAAACCCAGCGGTGAGAGACAGGGGAGGACGTGGAAGTTAAAAGAGAGAGGTAGGGAGGAGGTAAAATGATGTGCTGTCCTGGATATGAAGAATACATCCTGAGCCAGCGGGCTGACGGTGGGGAGACCCTGGTGATTGAAAGGACAGCGTGATTTGGGCTGCGGGAAAGCTTTAGTTTAGCAAGGACAGGATCATCTCTGGGTGAACGTTCCCTATCTTAATGGAATACAATTGTGGCTGTGTGGTGAGAAGACAGGACCTGCATAAAATTAAAGGTTGTCAGACCTTAGGACTGGTGTCTTCCCTCTCCACCCCTCCTCCACCCCCGCGGACTGTCCGATCTGTCTGTCCTTCTCCGAGAACCGAGGGCAGTTGGGGCTTCAAGGTCAAGCCACCCGGGCTGGGCTGGGCGGGTGGATGAAGAGGTCTACCGAAGGTCACAGTAGACCACAGACACTGCTCATGGGCAAATGCTTGATACTTCCCGAGGTCACTCTTCTGCGATTAGTTCAAAGGAAAACAAACAAGAAAATAAAATGACACACGGGAACATGCAAATGACCAAAGAAAGACACCACCGCTCGAAGCCTTCTTATGGGGGAAAGCCATGGGCTCCTGTTGCCAGCCGCCCGCAGGAAAGTGGACCCCAGCGGCCCAGAGAAGCGAGGGCGGGAGAGCAAACCTTCTGGGGTCCCGCTCCTTGCGCCCTTCCAACACGCCGCTTTCTCAGAGAAAGGAGCAGGAGAAACGCCCGAGCCTGCGAGCCTCTGGAGCGGACGGGGGTAGGGAGGGGGCAGGGAGGGGGCAGGGAGGGGGCTGGGAGGGGGCTGGGAGGGAGGGAGGCATGGGGAGAGCAGCGCCCAGCCGGGGCGCAGAGAGGAGGACTGAGTCTCTCCTTCCAGTGCCGCGTCTGGGTACTGGTCGATCCAGAATGCCGCGTCCAGCTTCCCACAGAGGATCCTTTAGCGAGGGCCACGCCAGCGCAGCCTCATCCTGGCTCCCCTCGCCACCCCGCCTCGTCCCGGGCCCCGCCGGAAGAAGTGCACCGCCCGAGAGCGCCGAGCGCCGCCAAACGAGATCGTCCCGCTGCCCTACGCCTCAGTCTGCGCCGGGGCCTCGCGGACCCGCGAGGGGCGGAGTGGGCGAGACCATTGGAAATGCTGGGAAGGGGGGGTAGACGAGGCATGAACGAGGGGCGGGGCCGGGTAACCCAGTCTAGATTTTCCTGTCCTTTTGAAAGCACTGCTTTGGGAGAAACCCCGTTATCAAAGTGGATAAAGAGGGCTTTTTTTTTTTTTTTTTGAAGGGGGAGGAGCGTATTTAGGAGGGCGGGGTGAGAGGAAAAGCGGCTGGCACCCGGGGAGCAGACCGGAGCAGGAGTTGCTGGGCGGGCGGGCGAGTCCCAGCGCTGCTCTGAGGGTCGGCTCCTCTCCCCCTCCCGCGAGGGCGGGGTGGTGCGTTCCGAGTTCCCAGGAGTTCGAGGCGGGCGGGTGCCGGGGGGAGGGGAGTGGCGGCGGCTGTGGCGGGCGGCTCCCGCTTCAGCCCGAGCAGTGGCGTCTGCGACGGCTGAGTCGAGGCAACCGCGAGCGCTCGGCACAGTGTCAGCCGCCGGTGACGGCGCCAGAGCTGGGAGTTAGGGACACGCGCGCCGGACCTTCCGCTGCTGTCGCCGCCGCCGCCCAGAGCCTGAAGCGCTAGGGCCTGGGAGCCCGGGGGCGGGCGGGGGATGGCGTCGGCCCCGCTGAGTCCCGGAGGCAGCAAAGCACAACTTTCCTCCGCTTCTCCCCTCGCGGCCGGGCTTCTGCTGCCGGCCCCGACGCCGACGCCGCTGCTGTTGCTGCTCTTCCCGCTGCTACTGCTCTCCCGCCTCTGTGGTAGGTGAACGGAGGCGCCCGCGCGGCTGAGGGAGGGTCCGGGGGTCCGGCTCTGCGGCCGGGCTGGCCGGGTCTGGTCGGTGGGTCGGGCCGGGCCGGGCCGGGCTGGCCGAGCCGAGCCGAGCCGAGCCGAGCCGAGCCGAGCCGGGCCGGGCAGTGCTGCCGTGGGGCGGGTGCGGCGGACTTTGGTTGGAAACTTTTGGCCGCGCCCGGGGCGAGGCCCGGGAAGAGCCGGGTGGGTCGCCGCGCCAAGGGCCAGGGTTGGCGCCGGGCTCATGCGCGGAGCTTCGCGTTTGCTCCAGGGACCGTTACTTCCCAGCTCCCTCCTGGAGGAAGCGCAGAACGCAGACTTCAGGGCTGTGTGGTGGCTGAGGTGCCGGGAGGCACGCCTGCTGCCTCTTTTCTTTCTTTTTTTTTCCTTTCCGATGAAACTTGAGTTGTGATCCCGGAAACCCTAAGACCAGATACCGACAAAAGGAAGCCTGCGAGTCCAGCCCTCCTGGCCTTCCACCGGGTGAAGGCACCATCTTAACCCACCCTGCTGCAGCATCACCTTCAGCCAGTTTTCTCAGGTCCTCCGGACCCAGTCTGCCCTGGTAGCCTCTTGTCTCTTTGGATTGAGCCCGTCGCTGCCTTCTAGTTGTGGGACATCTCTCACGCGGTCCCTGGGTAATTTTAGCAAATCGCATGTGTTCTAGAATCAAGATTTATGTGTTAAATACCTGAATGCATCGACTATTCCTTGTTTCTAATCAAACGAACCCCCGCCTCTTCTCTCCCCCGTGTCTTTCTGACTGACCTCTTGTTTTGGTACAGTTTTCCTGTCACATTTGGGAGCTACTCTCTGTGTTCTGTACCCAGATATCTGAGACTGGAGGCCTACTTTTTAATGATGTAAAAAAAAATCTACTTTTGATGCGAGTAAAATAGTGGTAAGTGGTAATAAATAGACGGCAGTGATTTGAGAAAATGAGAAGACCATTCTTTGGAGATTAGCGCTAAATGTCTTTTGGTAATATCAAAATATTGTCATTCATTCAGGGGCTCTTACTTGGTGGGGAAGGTGGATGGCTAAAACTTACACTTCCTCAAAGACCTGTTCCCAGTGTATCATGAAATCTTAAGCCGAAGTTGAACCAATATTTATTACAAGGAGTAGTGTGATTTTTGAAGAAAAGGATCATGTCATGATTAGGGTAGTGTCAAGGTAGTTGGTTATGAAGGAGGAAGATCGAGTACCCCCTGTAGGCTGAGAATTCACTACCAATTTACCACATATGTCCAGGAATGTACAAAGCATCATATATGATGCTGTATCAAATGAAAGTTTCTGATTTACACAGAGGTAGTATGAAAAATGGCATGATACCTAATTTACAATGTTTCTGTATGGCCACTCCCCAGATATTATTGCTGTTACCCCTTTAAATTGAACTTATGTGCTTTTCTTATGTTCCATTAAGAAAGACTGTAAATGCTGCTTATGGTTGAATTTGAAGATAGTTGGAAGGAGGATGAACAGTTTATTATCTTGATTTAGTTTTTGTTAAGGAATGAAAGAATATTTGTGCTTCCCTAGCAGTATATTTGTCCAGATAGGCAAAGCCCTGTGGAAGACTGAGTAAGTAATATGAACAGATGATACAAGAGGTAGAATTTGTTCTTTTTTGTTGTTTTTTGGTACCGGGGATCGAACTCGGGTCCTTGCACTTGCACAGCAGGCGGTGAAACCACTGAGCTAAATCCCCGGCTAGAATTTGTTTAATAAATAATTTCACAGTAGTTGTGCAAATGACGTTACCTTTTGAAAGAACACATTGGTTTTTCATATGAAGGAACACATTGGTTTTTCACATGGAAGAAGAGGTTTTAAAAAATATCTCTTTGATAATGTGCTATTAGAGGAACTTGATAGTTTATTGTAGAGCATAAATTTTTGAGCAATGTGTACATATAGACTGAGATTTAGAGGAAGTGTAAATGGAAGTTTTTAAGAGTCATTCTGTTTGTAGTTGTAGACATAGACACTAGGTTGATGTTACTGTGCACTGCTCACTTAAAGAGCTTCCTTTTTTGGCTTATAGTGTTATAACACCCTAATTTGTGAATTTTTACTTGCTAAGTTTTTTCCATTAATCTGTATTTTAGAATTCAGTCTTTGAATAGAATCCCATTGTTGTGACTTAGAGATGCTAGTAAGTATGGAAACAATTTTCTTCATATATGCTATTTGTTGATCTAACAACTTGTTGATCTAACTACTAGTATTAGTGGTGCTAACAATCATGGTACTACTTACAAGGTTTGGCACATACTTAGATTTGAGTAGACCCAGTTTTAGAGTTGAAAAGATTTTTAAGATTTGAAAAGATGACTGATGCTTTGTTAATCAAAATGTTTTGTTTTATTACATTTAGATTTTTTCTTTTCTGCTGTTTTTGATATGTTCTTACATTTACTGTTACTTTTACCATAGTGAACTTTTTCATGCTAATTTGTTAAAATTATCCCTCACAACTGATCTGAAATCCATAGAAAATTTGTCAGATTTGGGGAGGTATACATTATCCTATCTAAAAAGTCACTTTTTAAAATGAGAATTTTGCAGGTTGACAAATTGTCACTATTTTTTTAAGCCGTAAAGATTCCTAGATGCAAAGATCAGGAAGACTAGGTTAATAACAACGTCTAACTAGGCAAACTTCATTTATTTAATTCTGAAATTTCAGGGTTTTTTGTGATGACAGTAATCAATTCATTATCAGATTTATTTCATTTTTCCTTCCTACATTTTTCTTAAGAGGTAGAGAATATTCACAGAGATGTGGTATTGATGAATGAGAAGATAGTTTGGCCTTTGTAAGGTCCCGTTTGACTCTGAGATTCTACAGTTCTTCATATTTTTAACAAGCTTTCTATTTTAAGATGGTTGTTTAGAAGATGATAGAAAAAAAATCTATTAGGGGACCTTTAAAAGTAGGTCAAATATTCTTTATGTACTTGATAGTTTCTTGGAGGCAAAAACACATGGTGAGAGTCCTGGCTTCAAGGTTCTTACAATGTTTTGGTAGGCATAAAGGAGAAAGGTGATTAGAAGGCAGTTTGTTAGTTATGGTAGAGTTGTACGTGAGGTACTGTAAGGCAGATAAGTATATAGGGGAGGGAATCCTCTGTGTGTGTGTGTGTGTGTGTGTGTGTGTGTGTGTGTGGGCATTGTGTATAATAGGCAAGTGCTCTACCACAGAGCTATACCCCCAAGCACCATAAAAATCATTTTTAAAAGTCATTTGAGTCAGTGTCTTGAGATTAGACATATGATAATGACATAATATTAGAACTTTCCTGTTTTCTGTATGATTTAGTTACTAAAAGGGCAGTTTGTACAAAAACATTGCCACTTATAGATATGAACCATTGGCAGGTTATTTATATTATCTCCCAATTTGGTTCTTTTATAGATTAAGTGAAAAAATTAAGTAAATGCTTGGCATGTATGGAATGCAGTAGCACTTGGATGTTAGTATTATGTTTTACAGCATATACCAACTAGCCTGTTATTGGTGATTCTTAAATTCTGCTCTGGTGTCTAGAGTAATTGAGTTTTTAATTTAATTGACTTGCTGTATTTATACTAGTATGTAGTCTTTAAATATTTGTTAAGGTTGCCTGAGATAAATGTACAGATGATCAGTTTTCAGAGCATAAGAATTTAGTCATTAATTTACCCATATATTTGCATGGAAACTAGTTGAATCTTCCCTCAGTGATGTTAAATGCATTTTAAGATTTGGCAGTTCCATAAGGTCACTTTGTGGAGTAATAGTGATTATACTGAAAAGGTGGAATTGGGCAGAATAGTCATAATTTAGCTTCTACTTTAAATCTATACCAGTAGCATCAGATTGGGGTTGAGTACATGTTGCCTATATGATGAGTTTTTCCATATCCTAAACATATTATTATTAGAGTATATTAGAGTAAATCATATTAGAGTAAATCAAATTTAGAAGCAAGCAGAAAAGATAAACTCCTTCAATTAGCTACAGCATGAGAAGTAGGAATTGGAAAAGCTTGGGAGTTACATGTGTGTGTATTACATATATTTCCTGATTTACCTTGATTATTCTGGAAACAAATTGAATATTCCTTATCTGAAATGTTTGGGACCAGAAGTGTTTTGGGTTTTGCTATATTTTTATATACATAAGGAGAGATCTTGGGCATGTGACCCATGTCTAAACATGAAATACATTTGTTTCCTATCATTACATATATAGCCCAAAGATAATTTAATACAATTTTTAATTTGTTTTGTGGATGAAGCAAGGTTTCATAATACACGATTTATGGAATTTTCTACTTGTGGTATCATATTGTTCAAAATGATTTTGATTTTAGAGTATTTTGGATTTTAGATTTTCAGAGCATGGTTATTCAGCTTGTTCTTACATACATTTAGATATTTATAACTTAGTAGTTGAATAGCTGTGGTGTAAATTTTGTATCTATATATTTCTGGAATAAAACTTACCATTTTTTGAAATTTACTGAAGACAAACTGGCTGTGGTATATCCTAATCAAAAATAGTATTTTGATATTCTGTAATTTATCTATTAGAATTACTAAAAAATGTATTTTATGGCCTATTCTGTAGCCTATTAAAGTGTCCATAAAACTTGACAATAAGTGACATATGATTTGCAAAAAGTGAGACGTATAATTAACAGAATCACTATTAATATATAAGTATAGGCTAAAACAAATAACCTTTAAGTCAGTAATGGAATTTTAAAGATGATTCTGTGTGCCAAGCAGTCAGGTCCAAAAATCTGAGCACCATTAATCTGGCATACTTTTGATTACCTTACCTTATACGGTTTTGTTTAAAATTAAACTATGTTAAATTCTTGAAACATCCTTCCCTGAATTTCATTAATGATTTTTAGTTTTGTACTCTGTCTGGTATAGTTTAGCCATTTATTAAAGTTTACTACAAACA